ACATATATTCCCAAACCCCCTTTGTATACACGTTTGAAGACCAATGAGAAGTGCCCGAACCTCTGCATGGAGACTTGTAGTTTGTCCAAAATAGGCCGAAAAACCAAAGAGTGGTAATCCCGTTGAATCCCTTAGAACACCACCACCTCCACCCAGTCCTGGATTACCCTTAGAACAACCATCTGTTGAATTCAGGCTATAAGTTGAATTCAGATGGATGTTCTCGGGGGAACCCAGGAAGGAGTGGGGGGGGTGGGCTTGTGCGGGATAGTCGAGGAAATTTTGTATTCGGCTACGCGGAGCCCTTCGGGGTGATAACCAGCATGCAGGCGGAACTTCGAGCGTTGCTATGGGGCGTTAGACATTGTGTGATTCGAGGGTGCTTGGAGTTACACTTAGAGGCGGATTCTCTCACCCTGGTTCACATTGTTCAAGGGACTAGTGCTTGTCCTTGGCGTTTACAAAGAGATCTGGATGAGTTGATGATGTTCAAGCAATATTTCACATCGATCACACACTGCTACAGGGAAGCAAACGCACCTGCAGATCGTTTGGCAAATTTTGGTGCTGATTCTAGTACAGGTCATGTGTTTAATACATTCTCAGAATTGCCGCAATTGGTTAGGGGGGCTATTAGATTAGATCGATTAGGATTTCCTACGTTTCGTACACGGTGTCTGGCATGAATTGGAATAAGAAGCAGAAAAGGCCAATGAAGGTGAAAATAGCGGTTAGAAGGACATCAAGGGAGGAAGATTGACTGCTAAAATCTTCAAAGATCATCCTTCAGATTCACTGGAAGACATCCTGATATGGAAAAATGAAGATTTAATCTTAATTTCAGTTTTTAAATGCTTAAACTTTCACTAGCTTGTAAATTTATTGTCAAATTGTGGTTTGATGGCAGGGAGTTTCGTCCTTTTTTAAGGGGAAACTCTGCCGAAATTTTTATAAAATAATAAAATTTCAATTAAAAAAAAAAAAAAAACCATCTGTATTTAGTATGAACCGCCATGGCTCCTTTGACTCCCAGCGAATAGCTTTGAAGGCAACCCTTCCAACAGTAAAATTCGGCGAATCATACAATTGTCGGAAGGACTGTGATCGGATTGCTTGTTTGAAATGAATCCCTACCATGGACTAAATTTCCAAGAAAATTGCTTGGCAAATTGCAGATGGTCTCATTTGCTTGCTTATTATTGATTTAATTCTAATTTTCTTTAGTTTGATTTCTTTCACTTAAGTGGATCATTTATTTTAAAAGTAAATTTTATATACACTGACAGTGCATATACTATTACGGTTGGATGCACGACACATATGCAAAATTTGGGTTTCAAATTCAAATTCGGATTATGTGTCATGCATCCAATGGTGTTAGTTTTATAGGTAAAGAATTATATCCTATATTAGTTCGAGAGATGGAGAAAGAGCGGTTAATATGTAAGTAAGGGTTCATGATCTAATAGTTTAAACTTTTGAGTCAGAATTGGGTTCCTAATTTACATTTTAGACTCTTTGATAGGCTCTTTCGAGATTTTTCTCCCCAGCAAGTGGTATCAGAGGTTCAGATTGTGAGTTTGGGTTACTCATGGGTAAGTGGATTCTTCTCGGAGTTGGGTTAGTAAAATTTTTCTTCTTGATGGTAAACCAAAGTGTCAAGAAGTTTGACTAGTGTTGGATCAGGTGCGCCATAGGTTTGACAAAGGGGTCCGGTTGACGTTAGACCATAGAGCCAAGAGTTGGCAAAGGGTTCGAAATCCAGTTTGGATATTGAAGAAGAGTGGGTCCATGATTGGAAGAAAATGTGATCTTAGGCGATAAGTTAGACTTACATTGAATATTAAAGTGGGTTAGGAGAAGACATTGTAAACTTAGATTTAATGTGAGGGGTTACTTATGAAAGGGAAGATTTGTTAGGTTCATGAGTAAATAATTATATCTCACATTAGCTCGAGAGATGGAAAAAAGGCAGTTAATATGTAAGTAATGGTTCGAAACCTAATAGTTTAAGATTTTGTGTCAAAATTGGGTTCCTGTCTTATATATTCGGCTTTTTGATAGATTCTCTCAAGATTTTTCCCCCTAACAGTAAGATTTCATCAAAACAACTGTATTCTCAGATATTGATAAAAAAAAATGTGGATGGAGCACGCATAGATGAACAGCTAAGGAAGAGATGCAGATTGAGACAAGGAGAATTGACTTTTTGGCTGATTTGGATAATGTTTCAAAGGCTGATTTTAACCCCGCATCAAAGGCTGATTTGGACAATGTCTCAAGCAGAATTGACTTTTTGGCATCGATCATGTGTAAAGAGATCAACTTACGTAGGTTGCTAAAGTTATGCTTCACATGTTCATATATATTTTTGACTTGCAAGAAACTAACTGCATTCAGATTCAATCATCTCACGTGCAATTTTGCGGCCCCGATTTACATTTTTATTACATTTTCTATTTATGAGCTGAACCAATTAGCTAACCAATTTCCGCCATTTGGATGCATAAGAACCCTGAAATGATTTGCTAAACAGTAAGGAAGCTCCACATGCACTGTATGATGGTTTCATATTGAGAAAGCTTTCATACTCTTAGCCAACTTCTTTGCCTTTTGGGGTACAAACTTTGTCAAACTCCTAAAGAGCCATCTTGGGGGGGCAATTTCTGTAAGTAGAAAGCTTTATGTAAAAGCTACCAATTAAGGGGAAAATTCAGCACATGAAACACAATTTCTAAGAAATTCAGCATCTGACTACTTAATTTCCTTCTGTAATGAGTAGTGTCAATTTTGAGTAACCAAATGAACTGTTACATATTCACCACGTTATAGATGCATCTACACGTATCATTCTTCGAACTCCAAATTTATGTTTGGTTAGGGAACGGAACATTACCTTCTAAGTACCTAATGTTTGGCCCGTAAATCACTTTACTCCCTTAAGTTTTGCGAAAAACACGTCGATTCCACTCAATTCTGAAGTTGATTTAATTGAGGACACTTGATGGGGTTCCTCACTAATTGAGAACTTTGCTTAGTGGTTTGGAGCTAGAACCCATACCCAATGCGTGCATTTCTTAAGATTAGACCATCAATTGTTCAGCTTTACTTTCAAGTTTTCTAGCCGGAATACTGTACGGTGAAGTACGGTTTCCAATCAAACTTAGGGGGTATGAAAGTTATCTATAATTCAAACTTTAAGGATCAAAGAGGTAATTATTCCACGTAGAGACTTACCAACCTTAAGCAACTATTGTACAGTTTTTTTTCCCTCTTGCCGAATCTTTTTTGTTTTTTAACAAAGAAATTATACAAATTGGTTTTGCATAATGGAGGTGATGGCAGCCAGAAGAGGGGTATGGGGATGTAAGAGTTAGACCAGTTCTTGTGCGCAAAGCAATCCCAAATGGCATATGCAAAGCATTGTGCCCAAAAAAGGGACTAAAAGGAGGTCTTGGTTTCTTCAATTTGCTATTCAAGTTGGCGGTTGTTTGCTTTGTGCACCTTTTTCACTTCAATTTATTTTATTTTATCGACTAACTAGTAGTCTCTTTATTAAGGAACCAACTGAATATTTTGTATGTGAAGTTTTGCTTGCCAAGTACTTCTCCATCCTATTGTTCATTGTTTCCTTTTGGGTTGGAGGCTTGTACGGATTCAAGAAAATGGTTTTCCTCTAAGCAATCATATAAAACTCCTAATATTTTGTAAAACAATTATTTTCATCACATTTGTACTTGATATACGACTGTCCAACACATGCTTATAGGGCAAAGGTGAAAATGGATTATTTCATCACAATTATGCATTACATTAACTTTGGCCTTTACCCCATTATCAATTTTCCTAATAACTTTGGCCTTTACCTCATTATCAAGTTTCCCATCACTTTAGACTTAATCACTTGGCTTAATTTGGCTTCTTTCTCAAAAGTGCCTGAACAATTTAATTATTTATTGTAGTTAAACGTAGGGCTATCAATGGCGGGCTAGTCTAAGCCCGGTCCATTCTACGAGAGAAAAAAGCTTGCTGAATCTAAACTTTAATTAGATTGGGCAGAATTTGGGCCTAAATATTAGGGTCGAATTAAATGTGAACCGAATTTAGGTTATGCTAGACTCAGACTTGATTAAGGTCCAACTCGTATGTGAATATAACAATACACATAAATGTTAGGGGAGAAAAGTCTTGGGAGAATCCATCAAAGAGTCCAATATGTAAGTCAGGAATTCAAATCTGACTCAAAAGCTTAAGTTGTTATGTCTCGGGCCCTTGCTTACAATTAAGTGCTCTTTCTCCATTTATCGAACCAATGTGAACATATTTCTTTACTCATGAACCTAACAAATCTCCCCCTTCATGAGTAATTCCTCACGTTAAAGCTAAATTTACAAGCTCTTCTTCAAACTCACTTTAATACTCAACATAATTCACCTTGATACCTTAGCTTACCTCTTCTCCCAATCATGAACCCACGCTTCTTCAAGATTCAAACTGAATTTTTTTTGGACCCTTGCTAACCCTTAACTCTTTGGTCTATCATTAACTGAGCCCCCTGCCAAATCCGTGTCATACCTGATCCAACACTAACCAAACTCTTTAGTACTTTGGCATTTTGATTCATCATCAAAAAGAGAATTTTTAGTGGTTCGACTCCGAGAAGAATCTACTTGTCCATGAATAACCCGATCTCGCAATCTGAAACTCTAATACCACTTGTTAGGATCCAAGTGCGAAATACACGACTATTAAGATATCAAGTATACAACAATTTAATGACAAACAAACTACAAATATAAAAGATACATGACACACAATATTTAATGTGATCATTAAGTCTAAGTCCACGAAGAGAAAACTCATTCTTTATTATGAGAGGAAAAAACCGAATACAAGAATACAACTTGAACCCAAGTTCCTTATATAACATTTCTCATCTCTCAAGAACTCTCACTCACACCCCATGTATAAAGCTACATGTCGCCTTTGTGTGCTCTTGTATGTCCCTTGTATGTCTCTTATGTAGTATACTAACCCACCTATTTATAGAGAATATTATTTGGCCAAAAAATCAAATAATAATAGGAAACCAATACTAATTCCTAGACTAGTTCAGAATAGGAAATAATTTCTAAATCCTAAACAAAATAGAAAATTCCTTGACAACTATTCCAAATAACTAAAACCAATTAAAAAACTAGTTATTTCCACACAAAATTAAAAAAAACTTGTCTAAAAGAAATTAAACCAATTTCCTAACAATAAAACATAGGGTTAAATGTAGAAAGCCCCTACAACTATTACACTAGTTGTCTTACACTCTAAAGTATTTTAATAGGCATTTCACACCCTTAGTCACCTAAAAAAAGCACAAAAATTAAGACTATTAGGGTCAAAATGATGGAAAAATATGAAAATATTGAGCGACTGTTGTTGCAATTTTTAAAATCTCATAATTTTCTTCAATGCATCATAGCACCATAACTTTATATAATCAACAAAATTTCACTTGAAATCTTGACAGGAATAAAATTGGAGTAGAACCCAAAATTTTTCATATGAATTTAACACAATAATCGCAACAAAGACACATCATTGACCCAAAATTAAAACCCATATATTAGTAAACAAAATATTGGACTTAGAAATTTCAATAAAACAACTAAATTATTTACTTTTCCTTGATAACAATCTTTTCTTACCGAGGCTAACTTGAAATATGTAGTAAAATAAGGCTACTGAGATTCTTGAATTGAATTTATTCCCTTTCTTCCTTTTTTTTCTTACTTCTTTTTATTTAATTGTCATTCAAAGTTATCATATATTTTATTGTTATATGCTTTCAATTAGAATTTTACTATAAAGTGAAACTTAATCCATTCAAAGTGACAATTTTTTCTACCAACAGTTATTTTTGTCACTTATAAGCTTTTAATGGAGGATAAATTGGTTATTTCATCAATTATTTTGGGCGAAATTAATTTTCTTATTGTTTTCCAATTGACTGAGGGTGTAAAGTTCCTATTAAAATAACTTGGAGTGCAAAGTGCAACTAGTGTAATAGTTAACGCTAAAATATATATAACAATATATATAATTTATAATTATACATATTATGACATAAAATGTTAATAATTTATACATAAATTTATAGTAATCCATATTTATAAAATATATATTACATATAATATGTTTATAATTATGAGTTTGAGTCAAGCCTGATTTGAGTCTAAAACTCATATAATAGTGGGAGCTCATTTTGAACCTTTTAATTAAACTCAAAATCTGAAAGCCTAAATCCCAAAAATCTGTATAATTTGTGAGCTGAACTTGGAATTATCATAACCCGCTCAGAAAGCTGAATTGACATGCCTAGTTAAATGTCAAGTTTATTATGTTTAGTAATTGCTAAATGATTAAGTGATTTCAATCCTATAGTCTATATCAACATGATTTTTTTCCTTAAAAGCAAGAAGGCAAACTTTTGAAACAGAATATCTATACTATATATAAGGGGAGGACTTTTGGAGTAAACAATTTTATGTCACTTTATATTCTTCATAAACTACCCTTAGTAACCACCCACTACTATATATCCTCTTTCCAAGTACCACGTATTTTTTATTATTTTAATTTTGAGATTATTTAGCAAATCATAATTTATATTGACAACTACCAATTATGCTTGCAGATAATACCAGTAATTATCTATTTGTACACTTTATTTTGGTGAATTTGTAAAATAGTGCCAAATATATAAAACCAATTCTCCTGAAAATGATTCATCAAGTATATTGAAAGCATTTCAACAATATTTTTTCTATTAGTTGCACACACATTAGCGTGTGTTTTGAGTACTAGTTAATCATAATACAACACCTAAATAGATCAAGCAAATATCAAACACTCGTGACTAACACGGATTAAGGGCTTCATAGGTCAAGTTCTGTCAAGTTTAAATCAATTCATGTAATTCTTACAATTTTTTTTGTATAAACTCATATAATTTAGGTGTGAGTTTGAATTTGTTAACTAATACAACTAAATTGACCATCACACCAAAACTGTATTGAATTTACACCAAATATAATAAGAATTATATAAGCCAATTTGAACTAGATAGAACTCAACATATAGAGTGACAGCATTTTGGAAGGCAGAATCCAATTCCTGGAATCTGAGATTTAAGTTATACTCCCTCCATTCCTATTTAAGTGACCTGAATAACCAAATTTCTTAAATAAAGAAAGAAAGTTAGTTTCTAAAATTCAATAAAATTTTTACCTGACTTTCCAAAACTTCCCTTAATCTTTCAACTATTTTTATGTATAATGCTACAAGCACTGCATTTAATTTCTTGTAATCCCAACTCAAGAAAGTTGAGAGTATAAATTGGGGTAAATTTGAAAAAAAAAATTCGTAAATGCTTTTTTGATATAATAAAAGGAAAGTTGATTTGGTTTCGGGTCATTTAAATAGGAACGAGGTTGTAATTGTGAAAGTAATTTAGTTAGGCAAGGACTACAGCCCACTTTACTGGTATTCCTATGGCACAAACTTTCTACCAATGTCCATACCTGCTCTTTTACCAAAAAAGCAGCCAAATCCCAGAGTTATTTTAGGCTTCAAGTAATGTTCGCTTTTTCCTTTTTCTTGTGACTATCACAATTCAGACACTTCCCTACCCAATTCCGGCGCTGGTTGCTTGCTTTTGATTCCAATTGGTTCAAAAGTTAGCACATTCTTTTCTCATCCTTTCTACTTCCAACCGATCACAACTTATGCTGCACCAAATCCCTCTATAAATATCCCACTCCAGTGCTTTTTTTCTTCATGCTTCAAACTCCATCTCAATTCTTGAATCCACTACAATCTTCTTCCCTTATCCGCTTTCCCTCCTTTTTACAGTTGTGAGTGCGTGAAAAAGTTGAAAATGGAGAAGCCCATTAGTCTTTTTACTGTAACACTTCTCTTCTTGTTGTTCAATCAATCATTGGCCATTCCTGGCACGTACAACATTTTAGAGTTGGGAGCAAAACCTGATGGGAAAACTGATTCATCCAAGTCTTTATTAAGTGCATGGGCTGCAGCTTGTGGCTCTACCAAGCCAGCCGCAATTTTTGTACCAAAAGGAAGGTATTTTGTGAAGCAAGCACAATTTCTAGGACCATGCAAGAATAGAGCTATATGCTTTAGAATAGATGGTACCCTTGTGGCTCCTTCAGATTACAAAGCCATTGGAAATGCTGATTTTTGGCTTCAATTTCAAAGGGTTGATGGAGTTTCCATTCGCGGTGGCATTCTTGATGGCCAAGGTACTGGTCTCTGGGGTTGCAAAGCCTCCGGCAAGAATTGTCCGACCGGCACAACGGTATGTCAAAATGACCAAACTTGCCTTCACCATTTTCGTTGCTTCCCTAGCTTTACTACTCTTGACAAACTTCTTAGGCTGGTATTGTACGTACTTTTCCATTTTCACACTACAATACTACATGCAGCTAGTGGGGAAGTGGGAAGTTTTTTTTTTTTTTTTTTTTTTTGTCTTATGGCATTCAAACGGATGCTAAAAATGGGCATAACTGACGCTAGTGGGAAAGTGGGAAGTTTCAGTTGTACAACATTTTGGTCTGTCAATTTTCAATAAATTAAGAACGTCAATGCTTTAATTACCACTTTTTTTTTTGGCACATTTACAAGGAATCATTAAATTCTAAATCCTGCCAAAATCTATGAGCTAAGCATCTAAATTGTCTACGGTCTAAGTAATGCTTTTTTAAAAAAAAAATTTCTTTAACAACCATTTTTATGTATGCAGACATTGGGATTTACCAACTCAAACAACATTGCAATTGCCGGCCTAACTTCTCTCAATAGCCAATTGTTCCACTTGGTGTTCAACGGCTGCAACACCGTGAAATTGCAAGGAGTAAAGGTTTCGGCGGCCGGAAACAGCCCCAACACGGACGGGATTCATGTGCAATATTCATCAGGAGTCACAATCTTGAATTCCAAGATCAGTACTGGAGATGACTGCGTTTCAATTGGTCCTGGCACTACAAGTTTGTGGATTGAAAATGTTCTTTGTGGCCCTGGCCATGGCATCAGGTGACTAAAACTGATGCTCAATTAACAATTAGTAGTATCTTCTTTGAGGACTAATTTAATTTTTTTGGGCAGCATTGGGAGTCTTGGAAAAGATTTTGAAGAAGAGGGAGTACAGAATGTGACAGTGAAAAGTGTTACCTTCAGGAATACACAGAATGGTGCAATGATTAAATCATGGGGTAGACCAAGCAAAGGTTTTGTCAAGGATGTTTTGTTCCAGCATGCCACTATGATCAACGTCCAAAACCCCATCCTTATTGACCAAAATTATTGCCCGGATAACATCAACTGTCCTGCACAGGTATATAAATTATTTAATGGGCATTATTAGTTGTCAGTATATTTGATGTATTTCTATCCACGGGATAAATTAAGAATTTGGGTTAATCCTTTTTTACTTAAACAAAATAAAATAAGAACATGAAGATGGATGATACACTACAAATCTCTTTCTGGGTATTTCAAGATACGAACAATTTTCTAATATCATGTTATTAATTCGATCTTTTTGACAGGTTTCAGGCATAAAAATAAACGATGTTACGTATCAAGACATCCATGGAACATCAGCAACAGAAATTGCAGTCAAATTTGATTGTAGCAAGAAGAATCCGTGCAGTGGGATAAGATTGGAAGATGTGAAATTGACATACAAGAATCAACCAGCTAAAACATCTTGTGCCAATGCTGCTGGAACTACACTTGGTTTGCTTGGCATTAATAGCTGTCTGTAAGCAAAGATCACAAACCCCTTCCCTTTTCCCCACCCCCTAACCCAAAAAAAGAAAAAAAAAAAAAACCACGCTTCCCCCAAAAAGAAAAAAGGGTTGGAGGAAGTGTAATGGGGTACAGATGGTATATTTGAATAGAAATTTTAGTACTTAGGTTATAGCACAGCAAGTGACTCAATCAAATTAATTTGCGGGCGCCTGAGGCGTTGCCATAATCATTGTTCGCCTGGCCATGCAACAGTCATGAATCTGTGATCAACAAGTGCAAGGGACAGAAAATATATTTCCCGTAGTGAAATGGATTAAATTCAGAGTAATTAACATTGTTTTTCTTGTCTCTACTTACCCGTTGATACTCGAACTCAAGATCTGTCGATTATATGCAAAACGTTTTATTAACTAAATTGCGTTTCGGTGCCCCCCGGGGCTTCTTCCGGAACTCCAAGGTCAAGTGGTCGAATCCCACTTAACTCCCGGTGCGCTTGGGGTGGCGGTGTACTTGGGTGCAGGGGATTAGTCGGGCTGCCTTCGGGTCTTGACCCGGACACCCTTGTGTTGACAAAAAAAAAAAAAAAAACTAAATTGTGCTTCGGTGTCGGAGTTGTTATATATATATATATATATATTTCTAAAATTGGATGATGTATGACTAAAAAGATATATTCTCAAATTGGATGATGTAGGAATAAAAAGATTGATTTTGATAGGAATGTTTTTCGTTTAGATTTAAATTTAGTCTCCCATATGTCAATAAGAACCTCTATAGAGTTAACAGCTTTTTATGGGGAATTTGTACAATCTATATTGACAAGAATATTTGCTTTTAGTTCGTCCACAAATGTTATTAATATAATGTTTTAGGATCGATCATCTCTATTGAAATCCTCTACATTAATTGGTCTCTCCATTTTATTCATATTTAAATTTATATAATGTTATAAAATTATGCAATTCTGTCATCACTTTTCTTTTGATCTCTAGATCAATCTATTAAAACAATGATATTTCTAATTTACTTGAAACATTTGAACGGTGAAAAATAGATCAAAATTATGACAAATTTTGAACAGTGAAACATATTATTACAAGATACGATCAACCACTTTTCATCCAATCTAGTTTAAAACATTTTTATTTTAAGCTAATTATTTACATAATCTAGCGGGCATAATAATTACATGTGTTTTATAGTTATAATAATACCCAAGATAGATAGATGAGAAATTTAAGTGGTTTTCGTCAAGATTTTCTAGAAATTGTTCAGATTTGGTGCTTTTTGGCTGGTAAATATGCCTCCTCCTCTCATAGATTCTGGTTGAATGTGAATAGCAATATTCCAGCAAGATCTAAGGATATGAACTTCTTGTCAGGAATGCAACCATTTAAGTGGTCGGGGTTGGGTTGTAGCCGCCCCATTGTTTATTGGTTAATGAAAATGAAAATTAAAAAAAAATGAAAGCTTTGGTGGGCAGCTTCATTTCGCCTACTGGAAATGACAAACAAAATAATAATTTTCAGAAATTGAAAATTAAAGAAATAAACACTACTAATTAAAAAAAATCTATTTTTCTGCCTCTTGTCTATTTTCTAATTAATATAACCTCTTTTTATTATCTTCAATTTTGTGGATATTAGCAAATTGAAATTATAAAATCTACAAAGGGAGTAGATTATGTGTCAAACTAAAAGGAAATGAAGAGACTCACAGTGATAGAGAAATAAATAATAAAATTAATGATTAAAATATGAAGAAGAATTAAAGATATGAAATTTGTTATATTTTGTTTATTGTTAGGAAAAACTTTTATAAAATGTCAATAATTACATAATGATTTCTTTCATTGGATTAGAAATTTTTTATTATGATTTTATTGTTGAGGTAGAATTTATTCTCGACTTTTGAGATATTAATATTTTTAAAATTATAGGAGAATTGTAATCGTGGTTCTATGTCAAATTAACTTATATTGAAAAGGTATTTGAGCATTGATATTTACTTCAGTTGTATAAAATTGGTTGTCAATGGAGTTTTGTGTGTGTGTTTTTTTTTAATCGTGACAAGTATTGACATTGTATATATATGCAATTTAGGATCTTTTGAATGGTTACTTGATTTTAAAACTTATACATGGATGGTTGTTAGGGATTTGGATTGTCGATTCATACAAAGTGTGGAAGAAAATGATTCAGTATACTGTATTTTTCTTTCTTAGTTTTGTACAAAAGGGCAATTGAGAATTTTTGAAAGAAAATTTAAGTTCTTGGACCTACATTGTCACTAAACAATAAAAGTAGAGGAGGTATACGTAATTTTTAAAATTTGAGGGGAGCTCTTTGTAATTGTGAGAAACTTGAGGGGAGGTTTGTGAAATTATCCCTTCATCAAAATCAAAATCAGCCTGCAAAACAATTAATCAAATTCAAGGATCACAGGTCTATGCAGCCAGATCTTTCCTAAAATCAAATTCAGAAAGTATGTCAAAAGAGGGATTTTTTTTTTCCACCAAACAAAAAAAAAAAAAAAACCTCGCAAAAACCAATTTGGTCATACCTGGAATAAAGAATGCCTGATAGCCAAAATCCAATGCCAACAGCTATTATGCACTAACAAAAAGAAACAAAAGAGGAAGAAGAACCATTGCAAACTGTCGTAACGTTATTAAGAGACAATTATGTGACAACCAGAGATGTTCTAATTTCCGTAACCATCGCACCTTTAATTCACATAATGATCAGGATATTGCAAATTAATTATCAATTCGAAATGACATAAAACCCCGCAAAGTTCTACAACCTGCAAGCGTTAATTGCCAGGTCGAACGGGAAAGAAGTGATTTCACACATAAACAGGGCAATCTATATCTATATCTATATATATTAGAGAGCAGGTTTTTGACGAGGAGTTTCCACAAGCCTTAGATCTAAATTCTTTTTTATTATAATTTTAGATTTATTTTAATTTAATAACACTTATCTTCTCTTTATCCCTTTCCACTCCTCAATTTACTGACCCACTAACCCACAAAATCTCAATTTACGTGACCCACTAACCCACAAAATTAAAACTCCTAAATTTTAACTAATAGATAATAATCTCTCCAACAAAATGATATTTGTAAATTCCAATTCACGTTCCACATTTACCATTGATACTTACCACATTACTGATAACAATACTCACACTTACCACATCGTAATTATTCACAAAACTGATGATCACTAATCTATTTAACCAATTTCATTTGTCATCACACAAATTAAATATAGTGAAAAAAAGACTATGTATCATACTATCACCATGGATGAATCCTACTTACAAACGTTTCAATCAGTGATAAAACCAAGATTTTTTTCCTAGAGGGGCTAAAATTTTTCCTAACATAATTATTTTTATAAGTTATGTTCAAAATAATTTTCATTTATTTAAATAAATGACACCTAAAAATATCAAATATTAATTTTAATTATAAAGGACTTAAAAAATAAATAACTTTTTTTAAAAAAAATAAGTTCAAAGGTAGTTAATTCACACACATGTGCACACATATATACATATATATATATATATTCTCATAATATAAATTAAAATTGTAAAAAATTAGGAGGGTTAACCTTATTTTACACAAATATTTACACAATATAAATTAAAATTTTTAAAACGTAGGAGGGAGGGGCTATGACCCTCATTAGCCCCCCATTGGTTCCATCATTGATTTTAATGGCGTTATAATTTCAAACTTGCAAGATTACAAATGAGAAAACAACAGATCGCAAAATGAATCTTACGCTATAGTGATCCCATTGAAATATTTTTAAAAAGTTCAGTAAGTTCACTTTCAAGAAATAGAAGTCTCGCTGAACATTTTTTTTGTAGTATAAACTCCACAAAATTCAATCGAATTAATTAAATCATCAATATTGGTTTTCATGCTAAAAGTTGATTGATGTAAAAAATTTTCGTATTTTTTGTACAAAATTATCAAATCGAATGCATAATGTTTGTAAGTATTTCATTTTCAAATAATAATTTTCATCTATTTAAATATATGACATCTAAAAATATCAAATATTAACTTTAATTATAATGGGACGTAAAAAATAAATAACTTTTTTTAAAAAAAAATTAATTCAAATGTAGTTAATTCACACGCACGCGCACACACACATATACATATATATATATATATATATATATATATATATATATATATATATATATTCATAATATAAACTAAAATTGTAAAAAATTAGGAGAGCCAACTTTATTTTTCACAAATATTTACACAATATGAATTAAAATTTTTAAAACTTGGGAGAGGGGACTATGGGCCCCATTAGCCCCCATTGGTTTAATCATTGATTTCAATGGTATTTTAATTCCAAACCTGCAAAATTACAAAGATAAAAAATAATTGATCACAAAACGAATCTTACATCATAATGATCCCACTGAAATATTTTAAAAAGATTCAGCAAGTTCACTTCCAATAAATATAAGTCTCGCTGAATATTTTTTTTGTAGTACGAACTCCACAAAATTTAATAGAATTAATTAAACCACCAATATTAATTTTTATACTAAAAGTTGACTGGTGTAAAAAATGTTCCCACCTTTGTACAAGATTATCAAATCGAATGCATAATGTTTGTAATTATTTTATTTTGAAATCAAATAAAACATGCAATTACATTTATTTCTATTTATATATCCCTCATTTTCTAATATAAATTTCTATTATTATTTCAAGATCTATCTTCTGCAAACACGCAATTTTTGAATGATCTACAGATTTTGTCATACTTTGAACTATTGTTAGACCAATCATAAATTGTAATTATGTTGGTATAATTTTTTTTAACTTTTTTTAAATTTACCCTCTCTTTTAATTTTAGTCAATAACATAAGCACTGGCATTCACACTAGTAATTAATTAATTGTCAAGTGTATAATCATACATTCAATGCACAAGAAGGACAATACAGTCAACTTGACAATATCTGAT